CCTCCCGCTGCCGCGGAACCGTGCGCTGCGACCTGGCTGAGGCTTGCTTGCTGAAGGGCATGTACTTCATGTTATCGATGAAAGCAAACGTTGCCTTCTTGAGGTTTTTGTGAGAACAGGTAGCCAGGCAAAGTGAGACGCCTCAGTGTGTGCCCTCCGTGAGTGAAAAGCCACCAGGTGAAGGCACCGTGTTAGACAGGGAAATATTGGTGGAGAAAGACTTTGGAACCCAGGCTTCCTTAATGCTAGATTTTAAAACCCGTTTTAATTCAAATGGCTTCATAACTGTAGCTATGCTGATATTAGAATGCGGAAGGAAGCTTCAAAGCAAGATTAAATACCTTTCATTAGACTAACTACTATGATTTGGCCTATAAAGACTAACTTTATGAGTTGTCTCAAACATGAGTTAGCTGACAGTGGAAAGATACTATTCTAGAAGTAGTAATTCAATTACTTATTATTATAATTTAGTTTTAATGATAAATACCTTTAAAACAATTTTCATAACTGATATAAGTATAAACAAAAATATAAATCCATTAAAAGGTGCCATTTCATATTGTTTATAGGTGAGTCCTGGTTTTTATGACTAATCAAACTACTGCTTATATTTTGCATTTTAAAATATTTATATAAAACCACCAAGATAACATTTGGCATGTTACATGTTTCACAGAAAAATGATGCAAAATGTGCATCCGGCTCCTGAGAATAATGAAGATGATCTCTATTCTGGCTACAATGATTATAATCCCATGTTTGACACAGAGGTAAAATATTTGCTGTTTCCCACCTTTCCCATACATAGGATTTTAACTTAGAATTATAAGATAAGAATTTATGGGTGCAATAACGTACAAGTTTACAACTGCTTTGAAGTGAAATTTACTTTATTTAGCAAGAAACATCTGAAGGTTCTCAGGATCTTCTTGAATAGTTAATTCTTTGATATCTTTCTATTCCAGCTAAGCACTTGTGCAGATCTCAACAGATCTAAGATGCTGTAATGTAAATGTAAAGCATTCTTGAAGCATAAAATCATAATTATTTGTAGGCACATTCAGCCTGGTGTTTCCCAGGCTGTGTGCAGCAGCAAGTTTTCTGACAAAAGAGGCTCCAGAGTGGTCAGTAGGTCATTGGTTTCCTACTGTGCTGCTGCTGGAGGGGCTTGCAGTAAAAACTGGAATCCTGCAGGTCTCTGTGCAACTGGGTAGAGCATCTGGGATGTCTTAAAGTAGCCCTGCAGAGCACTTTTGGGTAACTGTTGGTCTGGTGCAGTTGGGGCACTCCAGTGATGTCATTTGGTCCAAACCCACTTGCACGACTTGGCATCTTGTGTGAAATCCCAGTACCCAGTTAATGGGAGTTGCTGCAGGACCTGAGGGACATGAGATGTTTTAATGTCCTGCATTGCAGATGTTAATGTCAAAATTCAGAGGGAGTGTAAGTATTTGATAAGAGCATTTGGATGGGAAAAGAAATTCATGTTATATTTTATGACTTTAGCTCTCTTTCCTCTGTGTTTTTAGAAAATAACAAATTTTTACATTTCCTAATCTAAATACCAGAAAAGATAGACAAATAATATAACTGTAATTTATTGTCAGTAAACCCTGTTGTTCAGTTATCTTCAAGTATTTTTCTTTTTTTTTACATTTTTTCTGCTTTCAGTAGTCTGAAGGTTGTGGAATTATGAGCTTGGTGTTGTGGTTTTAAAAGGTTTAATGTTTTTATCTTTTCTAGGATTTAGAAAATGATGTAGCTTTTCAACAGGCTGCAAGAACAAGTCATGGAAGAAGACCCCCTGTAAGTACCTTTTGAAACACTGAGCATTAATGTAGATCTTACTATGTAGAAGCACTAATAATTGACACATACATGTTTTAATTGGTGGGTTTTTTTGTGTGGTTCTTTTTTTTCCCACCCAGGTGACAGCCAAAATTCCTGCTACATCAAGTCCAAGACCTCTGGCTACTGGATTTGGGGCAGGTTTTTCTGTTGTATCCTTAACAAAAATGTTGTTTACAAGATATAAATGTACCATTTAATTTCATGCACAAAATGAGCCCTTCTAAATTAAGAATTTCATTCCAATGAACTGCATCTGTTCATTGGTTTTGATTTACAATTTTGCACTTGGTCAAGGCATGGTTACTGGTTGTTTTTATTTTCTCCTGAACCATGCTGCAAATTTTCTATGCTGCATAAGTCCATAGTATTAATTGGGTTCACTTGCAGGGGGAACCGAATAGGTTGTTATTTGGGCTTGGGAAATTTTTTTACAAGTTAAGGTGAAATCAAGTCTTGAAGAATACAGGCTCTGAAACATCTCTAGTTGAATCAGAAAAAATTGGTTGTGTTCTTAGATGTATTGATAAAATACATCTGCATGAAAATGTAACTTAAGAGATTAATACAGTGACAGATTATATCAGCTCTACATAGAACTTTACTGAAGTATTTTGTCTAAATTACTTGTTCAATTTCAAGGCAGCAAGTTCAATAATTTAATAATGGAAAGTATGCTGCCTCAGATAATTTTCTATGTACTTCTCTTTAAAAGAGCTGATGGAAGTATCCAAATACATAAAAAACCTTTGTTGTGAATTTGTGCTAACTGAAGCATTCAACATCTTTGTCTGCCAGGAACTGGCAGTATATTGCATATGAGTAACATAAATGGGAACTTTGCTATAAACTTATGTGAGAGTTAGCTCAATTTTAAAATTTAGTGTTGAGAAGACAATAGGTAGGCTTCTTATGCTTTGTGAATGACAATTTCAATCAACTTACTTATTTTTGTAGTCAAAGGCAACTTTAACTTCATCTATGGGAAGACCCATGACAGGAACTATACAGGTAAAGCTTCCAATATTTACATTTTCTATTCATTTGGAACAATGAATTTTTCTGGTAAGTGTTAGATACTAGTATTTAGAAGTTCATTGAATTAATACATATTACTACACTTTTAATTTGTTCTTTTTTGAACATAGTACTGTCAGAAAGCATGAGGGTAGTGATGTGTGTTTTATTTGAGCACAGATTTGGAAGCAATAACAGTGTAGTAGTTTTTAACACTTATGGACATGCAATGAACAATTTGTCATTAAAAATTATATATGGAATATATTAAAATTATGTACAAAATATGTAATTATGTCTGTATTGTCTACAACATAACTAACTGAGTTTATTTTAATATATCTTCTTCTTTATTTGAGGATGGGATTTCTCGACCAATGACAGCAGTGCAAGCTGCAGGTTACACTAAAGCAGCTGTGAGAGGTATGGTTGTAGAAATCACCAGCTGCCACAGGGAGAGGTTACTTTACAGTTTTCAGTACTCTGTCAATTTTTCAGGTTCTTCATTTGATCCTCTTGGCCAAGCAAGAGGTCCTGCTTCACCTTTGGAAAAGAAAACTTCAGACAGGTTTGTTTGGTTCTGCATTACATTCTTTCAAAGCATTATCAGCAACAAAAAACCAGCCATGCATAGAGTTTAAAAACATCCAGGCAGTTACAAAAGCCTTGAGGGGCCAAACTCTGAACTTGGTGGAATAATGCCACAAACATTTGTGCATGTGTTTGGCTGACTTTCAGGAGCATCTGATTTCAGTGATTTCTGGTTCTGACTCGCTCAGAAGTTTGGGTGTAGCTGTTGCCACACAAATGAGCTGAAACTTGCAGCCTGGTGCCAATGTTGGGGAGTTCACTCAGAAAATCCTTGAGTTTTCCAATACCAAAGTTCTGTTCCCCAAACAGCCATACAGGAATAGGGAATCCTATTGAAATGTTTGGTTATTTAGCAGTGGAAAAAGTCTAGAAGAACCACAATTTTTTGTTATAATCTGCATTTGCAGATAACAAGCAGTGCTTTAGAATTATGTATGCAAATAAAGGTTCAATTAATTGCGTTTAGTGTGATATTTCCTTTCATTAGTGTTTGATATAAAAGCTCATCTGTTGTTTTCTAGTTACTTCTCCTGAACAAATTTGATTTGTGAAATTTGCCTGTCTGTACTGTTCTTGTAAGAGGTTTTATGTTTTCTTTAGGTCTCTGTTCTCAAGTTAAGGTGTGAATGTGATATCTTTGGACTATCTTCTCTAGGCGTAGTTTCACACAATACTTTCTTTGATGAGAAAACCAGTTAGTTGTGACATGTGCTGTGTCATTGTGTTGTTTTATTGAGAATATAATGTGTAAAAGCTTAGTGTTTGCAGTTGCATTACTTTAGTGTTAATCCTTTTATTGTTATTTTTATTTTAGTTTGGAGGAGAAGATGAGGCAGTTGGAAAAAAAAGTTAATGAACTGGTTGAAGAAAGCTGTGTTGCCAATAGCTGTGGAGACTTGAAATTGGTAGTTTTTCTGACTTTCACTTAATTTCTGCTGTAATTTGTATAGATAGATGTTTCAAAATTACTTGTGGTCAAATGTTTAAAATTATTAAAATTATTTTAGTTCTAAGTTTATTATGCTCTTCTAGTCTAGTGATACCTTGCTTTGCTGGGGAAAAAAGGTAGGAGCTCTATTTCTGCCACATATATTTGTTAAGATTTGAGTGTTACAAAAATTCCCTTCTGCCTGTGTCCATTGACCTCTTCAGATGGGTCTGATGGATTAATTGTACTGGCTCAGTTCTGGCCCAGGCTATCTAACATTTGATGGTTCCTATGAATGATCAAAGTTTGCCACAGATAAGGAACATTTCCAATGGACAGTTTGAATGTTCTTGTTCTGTTATAGGGGATACTAGAGCATTGTTGTGCCCCTGAGTAGTGGCTAATTAACCAATCTATCTTGTTAGTTTTTCCTGAGCCTCTTGCATGTAGGCTCAAGAATGCTCTTGATGTCAAAGGCGTTGTTTCTTATGTAAATTCTGTCAGACAACTCCAAGGATCCCATAGGATGTTTGTTTCTGACAAGTCCACCAGAATATCCATGTTCCTGCAAAAGTCATCAAAGTTGTGAACTCATTATCTGTAAAATATCTGAGTTGGATTTGCCTGCTATCATAAGGACTAGGAATCAAGCTGTATCTTGAAGTGCTTCTTCCACCACTGGCTTCCAAATAGCCACCTTGAGTAGTAGCCATTACTTTCTTAATCATTGTACCCTTGTGGGGGCACACAGGACTCCTAACGGCACTTGCTACACCCAAAGTGTTCCTTGTACAAAGGATATTGACACCAATCTGCAGAGAATTATAATTGGGTCCATAATTACACAGCTAAGCAGAGTTAGATAACTGTATGTCTGCTTAGTGCTAATTAAAACTTTTCAGTGAGTTATAGTGCTTTTTTCAGGCATTTGGTGCAGTCTGTAAGCCAAAGAAAATAGACATCATACTTGTTTTGAATGTATTTTCATCACCCTGAGTCTGTAAGATTCAAGGCACTGTTAAATTGTAGTATTTTGTCTAAGGCTCTGGAGAAAGCAAAAGAAGCTGGAAGGCAGGAAAGAGAATTGCTGAGACAACGTGAACAAATCGCTCCTCCAAAAAGTATCAACTTAGACCTCACTTACACAGTAAGTGCTTAGAAACCTTCAGTGACTGAAATGTTGCTAAAAAACCACCTGAGGAGAAATGTCCGTGTTTCCTGAAGTGTATGTGTGTCTGTGTTGTCATGCTCCTGGCAGTGTACGAAGGAGATCCATTCATGTCATTGAGTCCATTCCCACGCAGTCTCAAATGCCAGAGAAACCATGGAGTCTGCATTAAGTGGAGAAGAATTTCCATGAATATATATTTCATTTATTTATTCACATGTAAAACCTGCATATCAAAATACAGCAGATGCAGACCCTGTATTTCAGAAATAAATAGCCTAGAGAGTCTAATATGCCAAAAGGAGAAAACAAAATAGGAAAGATAAGGTGCTGCCTTTAAATTGAACCATGAAGTGACTGACGATGTGTTACATTAAATAGGTTATAATAATATTTCTGAATCTTAAAGCAGGTATCTAGATTTACACTCTGGTGTTCAAATAATAAACTCTTTTTTCTAAAAAAAAAAAGCATGCAACATTCATAAAACTGCTTGGAAGATATTTAAATTCATACTCCAAGTAGTGCTGTAGAGACAATTATTAACAATTAATGTATTGAATTAGGCAGACCTGGTAATTTATTTTACAATGAAGGTCAGAGTAAAGCTGTGGAAAAAATGCAGAGCAATTTTACCTGACACCAACAGAACTTCTGTTGTGAAACAGCTGTTTGGAAAAATTTTCCTGTTCTAAACTGAGTGACCACGGGCATTAGGACCATTTTCCACATGCTGGGAGTCATAAATTACACACAGCTTCTGAAAATTATCCTGTATGAATTTTTATTAATAACCTTGCATTATAATACTGTGTTTACTTAGGTCTAAGGCCCATGTGGCATAACTTTGGATGCTAGTAATTTATGTACAAAAATAAAAGAATTCTCTATAATAAGTAGCTTTTAAATTTGTTTCCTTTGTTCTTGCAAATTGATATAGAGGAACATTAAAGATGAGAGGTTTACAAGTGGTAAAGACAGTAGTTCCAAGGTAAAATTAACTTGGAATCTGAAATTCCAATTTTTTATAGGTTCTGCTCAATCTGGCCAGTCAGTATGTTGCTAATGAAATGTATGCTGAAGCTCTGACTACTTACCAAGTTATAGTGAAGAATAAGATGTTCAGCAATGGAGGTAGGTTGTATCCCAAAGTGGATTAAAACTGACAGTCAGGAATTCAGAGTGAGGACTGCATCTGCATGGTGCTGATACTCAGAGAACTTAGCCCTCATGTCTGCCACTCAGAGTGGATGACAGATATTCATAATCTGACTTGGAGAGCCAAACCACATTAAATTGTACTGATTCATGAAGTCTTTTCTTTCCACAGACTAAGCTAAACATAAAGACAAATACTCATTTTCTCATGTCACACATGCTATATGGCCTTCTCTATTACTGTTTTTTTCTCTTTTGACTTGGCCTTTCCCTCCTGAAAGCTTCTTTTAGTATTTTGCATATCTCTGAGACTCCTACAGTGTTTTTTTCAGAGATGCTTATTTGCAGTTTCTTCCTGGAGAGCACTATAAATAATCTCTACTTCATCCCTCAATTCAAAACCAGAATATATCTTACATAGTTCTATTCTAGGTTTCATCACTACTTCATCTCTCTCATCTTCTCTTGAGTTAAACTCAAAGAAGGCAGTTCTGTGCAATGCAGCTTTAAAGGGACATTGCTATCCTGTAGTGCAGACAAATTTATTAAGGTAGTGTTCTACTCTGTCTCTTTGAAACACTTTTAAAATGTTGTAACTCATTGACTCCTTTTGATAGGTATACTGAAGGTAAATATGGGAAATATTTACTTAAAACAACGGAATTATTCCAAAGCTATCAAATTCTACCGTATGGCTCTAGACCAGATTACTAGTTCCCACAAACAGATGAGGTGAGTTTCTTCTAGGGGGCATGCTTATGAAGTACAAATTTTGAATACAGTGTGATTTAGTAGTTAAAAATATAACCTAAACCTGATTTCTTACTTAGGATAAAAATAATGGAAAATATTGGAGTTGCATTTATTAAAACTGGCCAATACGTTGATGCCATTTCTTCATTTGAAGAAATAATGAACATATCCCCAAACCTGAAGGCAGGCTTCAACCTGATCCTATGTTACTTTGCTATTGGAAATGGTGAGCAAATGAAGAAAGCCTTCAAAAACCTCATCGAAGTTCCCTTGGAAGTGGATTATGAAGACAAATACATTTCTTTAAATGTAAGTTTGAAAAAATTAAACTGTGTCTTTATATAGTAAATTAGGAGAAAGAAGGAGAGATACTGAATGCTTGGACTATACTGAATATGGAAATTGATGTGTATTTAAGTATTTGAAATAACTTTTTAACCACCATGATTTAGTGCGGCAGTAGTGCTCAGATGTGTAAAATAATGAGAGAATGTTGTAATCTCTATTTCCTCAAAAGAGATGATGTACATGAAACCCACACCACAAGATTGTCATCGCAATGATTTTCTTGAAATTCATTTGGGCTTACATAGCTCACTAACTGCTTTACCATCTTCATTTATATAAAATTTTAATAAAATATTTATAAGGTAAAATAAAGGAGCTAAATAATAAGTGGGTTAATGCAAGTTTCCTCAAGTGAGTGTTAATAAAACTTGTAAATATTGTAGTGTTATTTTACAGAAGAAAACTGTAGTGACATTTACAGATGTTTATTTTAGTTTATTAGACTTTGCTGGAAACTGGACTTCCTTTGACTTTCCATGATGCTGAAGAGAGGAAAAAATAGTTAATAGGTTTAGGGTCACTCTTAGAAAAATCCTCTGTAGAAAGATCAAAGCTTTTATCTTCTAGCAGTCTTTTTTTCGGTGATGCAAACCTTTCTGTTCTAAATATCAAATACATAACTAATCTTCAAACTGTCTGCAGCTTAACAGTAGCTGTTGTTTCCTATTGTCATAGCATAAGGAAATAAAATTTAACATACAAAGCATACAGATGTTTTTATTGATATATATATATATTAATACATTTTATATAATTTCTTATATTAGAAATTATATAAGAGTAAGGATCATTTAGCCTTTGGGTTAATTGACTATGTAGGATCATTCATTGGAAGAAAGCCTTGAGACTGCAGAATTTATTTCTAAGGGTAGGCAAGCTATGGTTTTAACAGACATTACACATTCTCTATTTTTTAAATAAAGAGGTCAGAGAAAAGATTACAGTTTCCTTCTGGTCTTTATTTTGCATATATCTGTTATCTGTCCCAAATAAACAAGGAAGGGGTGGATACCTAACATACATAATTTCTTAACATACATATTTCTTAACATAACATGCATAATTTCTTTTAGAGCTAACAGATGTGTGATAGAAACCATAAGATGATCATACAAGTTATTGTAACAAGGAGGCAGCACAAGTCCTCATCTGCTGAATACCACAGCAGTTCAGCAAATGCTTATTTTTAAGCATGAGAATATTGTCACTGTGATCTGCAGCCTTTCTGGTCTGATACACATGACATGAACTACATCTGTTAACAACCTTAATGTGAGCTTTGACAACACACATAAGCAGAAAAACAATATTGAAGTAGTTGTAATGCCAAATTTCCGAGTATACAGTTAGAAAAGTACTTTGAACTGAAGCTAGCTTTTACAAATGTAGAAAGTAAGTGACATTATAGACTATTTATTTTACATCAATTTGTGTTTGCAATCATATTGTCTATAAAATAAGTAAAATGTTTGTATGCTGGTATAATTTGCATTTGTTTTGTCCCCCTCCAGGATGATCTACATACAAATCTACTGATTGAAGCCATTAAAAATGACAGTTTGAGTCAAATAGAACGTGAGAGGTAATGGTGGATTCTGTTCTTTCTTGACTGTGGTGCCTTGAATTTTAGCTCCAAGAAGGATTATCTGTCTTGTCACCTGTCCACAGCTCTTGTTACAAAAGTGTATTTGACTCAAACAGTTCTTAGGAAAGAACATGCTCAGAAAAACCAGTTGGATCACTCAGTTCAGTGTACTGCCCTAAAGTTGAGTATCTACCCCAAATGTTACAGGGTACATTGCTTAAAACTTGCAGTGTTTGAGATTTTTAAAAAATACAATTAGTGTGACAATTAATGTGCAGTGAAAGGAAAACAGAAAAAACTAAGAGCTTAATCACAATACAGGGGAACAGTGCTAACAGAGAACTGGTGGCCTTGACTTCTGAGATTTGTACTGAGTGCAGGAAGAAGCCAGAACACATTTTGGTTTGTTTTTTTTTCCTATACATGTTTTTGAAATGATGATATAGAATTGTATGCAGATCTAGAGTCATTTGGGTTGGAAAGGGCTGCAGAGATTATCTGGTTCCAGCCTCCCTGCCATGGGCAGGGACACTTTCCACTAGATGAGGTTGCTCAGAGCCCCATCCAACCTGGCCTTGAGCACTTCCAGGAATGGGACATCCACAGCTCCTCTGGGCAGCCTGTTCCAGTGCCTCACCACCCTGACAGTGAAGAATTTATTTCATATTTTGTGTTGTATTTTTGTGGGTTTTTTCCTTTAGGAAATCCTTGGCAGAGGAATACATCATGACAGCTGCTAAACTCATTGCACCAGCAATTGAGACATCTTTTGCAGTAGGCTATGACTGGTAAGAGTCAAGTGGGGCTTCTTTTTGTCTAAGCTGTGTTAACTCTTGTGCTGGTTATGAAACCAGTTCAGAGGTGGAAGCAGCCTGGAAAACACAGTTCTCTGTGCATCTCAAACAGCAATCAGGCTATTTTCAGTTTGCCTCCTAACACAACAAAGCATTAGAGTGTGTTCTGTCTTAAAAAGTAATTTATCATTGAAAGTCAACTCTTAATTACACATTTTGCAGTGTTCTCAACCCACACATAAAGTTCAATTGAATTTGAAAATTCCATTTCAAAATTGAAGAGCTTTTAAAAGTTTCAGCAGACAAATGCTGTATGGAAGGCAGTGACTGCTAGTCTTTACGTTGGGGATGGCATAATGAAGACTTGCAGTGCTTAAGAATTTTGATCACTCCATAGAGCCATTATATAAAATACTGGAATATAAATTTTAAGAAAGATTTGTTTGAATTTCATTTATGAACCTAATGTTTTTAAATATAAACTTAATCTACCATTCCTTAAAATGCTTACGTAGGTGTACACAGTGATAGGCTGCTGACACAGTTCATCATTTGAACTTTATTTTTCAATGTAGCATAGCTTTTGCTTTCTGTGATATTTTCTACAGCAGAATACTCTTTTCTTTAAAACAAATTCAGTTAGACACACTTCCTATGACAGTATAAAAATTAATAGCGTAAGTTTTCCAAAATTTATTTTTAGTTTTGAATTATAAGGGCTTACTTTGATATTTTTTTAATAGCATTGGAAAAGAATATGTATGCAAATGAATGTTTTGTATTGCAGGCACAATATTACAAACATATATTATTAGTGTTTGGGTAATGAATAATGTTTGATGGCAAAAGAAGACTGTCCTTTACCTGGGGATTATGGCCCATTAGAATTATTCTCAAATTTTGCAGGTCCTATAATTATAATTCACTAGGAAAACTATTTATACTAACAGGAAACAATCTCTCACACAGACATGTATTGTCTGCTTGAGTCCACAAGGTGGTGTTTGATGGTTTAATAATAATTATAATCTTATAATTTCCTACTTCTGCCATTCTGAATGATCAGGATTCAAATAATATGTCTTGTGAAAAAATAGGTTATTTCTTTCTAATTTGTTAGCATTAGCAAGTCAGATTTTTTTGCTCTGTGTCTTGTATTTTGTTCAGAAAAAACAGAAAAAGTTGTCAGATACTCAGTTTTCTTAGTGCTATCCACAGAATACTTGTCATGGAGTAACACATTCTCAGATGTTTCTGGCTAACTGAACAGCTTTTGCTGAGATTTGTGGAATTGTTTTTTGGATATCAGGGCAGATTTACTCTTTGTTATTTTAAACTGAGGTATTCAAGCCCAAAGAAGAAGTTTAACTGGCAGCTTGAGCTTAGTTTTTCTGATTATTATCTTTATTATGGGTCCTCTGAGTATTAAATGTACTTTCAATTAAATTCATTTTATTTAGAGAAATAAAGTGGGGACAAATACTCTTTGGAGTTCATAACTTCTTACTTAAAATGTGGCATATTTTTGGGACTATTCTGTCATATTTCATAAAGAACAGTTGGATGGTTAGATCTCATTGCATTTTATGGTTAAAAGATGTTACAACTGACAGGTGAAAATGCTTTTTTGATGTTGCAAAGACATCTGTAATAAAAGAAGAAATTACCAATTTTTATTACAACTTTTTCTCTAACTTAAAAGGCTTTTGTCTAAAGACTGTCCATGTGCCAAACCAATTATAACAGCAGGCAATTTGTTGAATTAAACTTCTGTTGGCAAAATAGCCAGTTATTAAAAGGAAAGAGGTGGCTTTCCACCAGTTAAAAAATAGTGGAAGGTGTTAAGGAAGCATCCCACAAGTTGTTCATTTACTGTGCCTCTTTTCCAAATGTTTGAGAGAACAGGATATGCATACAATAAATAAAGGTCTTGCTTAAATGATCAGGCAGCTGAAAGCAGATCGCACCAAACCATGGAAGGTGGTGGCTGTGAGTGAGCATCCAAACTGTCTGCTGCCTTCTGCTCTGCACTCTTTTTGCAGAAAACCCTAAGCCACAACCTACTGGGGAATGGCCAGAAAGAGACTTATTATTATGACTTCAAGTCATAATATGTTAGTGTTATGATGTAGCTCAGGGACACAGTCTGCAGTCTCTGGCATTGTTCACTAGTATTTTTATAGATTAGGTAATACATGCATCAGGAGAGGAAATTTGAAAAAACACATTATAACTACATTATAGAATGTAGCCAAAGAAAATGGCTTGAAAAATAATTTTTGTCAGTTTTTGACATCAAATATTGCTCAGTGATAGAAAATAGAGTGATATTTAGACAGCTGACTCAAAAGAAACAAGAGTTAGCAGAGATACTGTAATTAGGGTAGGTTATAGTACTGTAATATTCTTACAGGTATTTTTAATCAGAGTGCTCTTTGCCACTGTGAAGAAAGATTACCTAAGAAAACTCACTTTGGAAAGCAAATTATCTGAAAAAAATGTAACTTGGAGGTATTTGCATAGATGCATTTTGTTCATGGCTTGCTTTCTGTTGCAGGTGTGTTGATGCAGTGAAAGCTTCCCACTATGTAGAATTAGCCAATGATCTGGAAATAAATAAAGCCACTACTTACTTGAGGCAACAGAATTTTAACCAGGTATAGTAACTTCTCACATTAGTACTTTTCAATACTGTACTTGCCCTTTAGTACTTTGCAATACTGTATATACCTTTGTTAGCCACAGTTTGGTTTTTTTTTTTTGCAAGAGAAAGTGTGATCTATGCAAATAACAATTATTTTGATGCTGATCAGTAAAATAACTTTATAAAAAACACTGGCAAGAGACAAATTTTATCTAAATGAAATTTCTGCCATGGAAGTTAGAGTGAATAAAGTGCATTTCAAAATCAAAACACCCAAGTGTAGTTTTCTTCACTAGGTGTCCCAGCTGTCATTGCAGTTAATGGAACTGAGGTCAGTACAGTCAATAGAGCCTAGAAAGCCTTTGCTAATCAGCCTGGAGGTGTTTTCATTAATATGAGCTGAATCTTTCTCTCAATTAGGTTGACTATAGTACCAGAATACATGCAGCTGCACCTGCTTTGTATAGTTACTGTTTATGCTCTGGTATTCTTGCAGCTCCCCACGTGCTACAGCATTCTCTAAAATACTATAAATTGTCCTTATACTTTAGTTGGCTCTTCTGTCATTCCATTACATACAGGGCTTGGTTTGGAATAGGAGTAGTTAGAAAAAAAGCTTCATCTGAGCAAAACCAAACTTGGATATGTGACAGGATTTGACGTGTTTTCTTTTAAAATGCACTGGCTGGTACATTCAGTGATAGGAATGCTTCATAAATAAGAAGGAATAGAGCAATCCCCAGCTGTGCCTGAGTGGCAAGAATTAGAGTAGATCTTATACAGCAAAATTAGAGCTGCAGCTGTGGATACCTGTTATCTTCTAAGGTCATTCATATACCCACATCTTGGAGGGATGCACACAGGGCCACATGCTTAACTTCAGCCTGCTTTTACTTCTCATATTTAAGCTTTTCTGGTTTCCTGAGCAGCTCTTGCTCTCCCTGTCTGCCTTGTCCTCTTCTCCTTCCCTGTAGATACAGCAAGAGAGTTATCCTGTATTATTCTGCATGTCTAACTATTGTGGTTTAACCCCAGCTGGTACCTAAACCCCACACAGTCACTCACCCACTCCCTGCCCTGCTAGGATGGAGGATAGAATCAGAAGAGTAAAAGGGAGAAAACTCATGGGCTAAGATAAAGACAGGGTGATTGGTAAAACAAAAGCTGTGCACACAGGCAGAACCAAGGAATTCATTCAGCATGGGCAGGCAGGTGTGTTCAGCCGTCCCCAGGAGAGCAGTGCTCCACCATGCATAATGGTGACTTGGGGAGACAAGCAGCATTGCTTAAATATCCCCTCTTCCTCCTTCTTGCCTCACCTTTATATGGCACCTCCACCTGGGAGGTCTGGGACCTCCCTTTGATCAGCTGGGGCCAACTGTTGTGCCTGTGTCCTGTCCCAATTCCTTGTGCACCCCCAGTCCACTCACTGGTGGAATGGGGTGAGGGGCAGAAAAGGCCTTGGCTTTGTGTGAGCCCTGCTTAGCTAAACCTGTGTTATCAACAGTTTTCAGCATAAACCCAAACCAGAGTCCCTTAAAGTTTTTATGGAAAGAATTAACTATCCCAGCCAAAACCAACACATTGAAACCCTTTCTGAGATCAGGAAGCAGTTTGAGAGTTTGCAAAGATTTGGGAAAATCTGGTAGCTTTACTGATACAAACTTTACTGGTACAAACCCTTTTGAAGGGTGAGAATGTTACAGGTAGGTAAAAAGTCTGATGATCTCGAGAATTTATTGTCTCAAGGGTAATTTTTTGTGATTTCCAGTTAGGGTTCAGTATAGGTCTTATGATCTCAAGAATCTATTGTTTCAATGGTAATTTTTTGTTATTTCCAGTTAGGGTTCAGTATAGGTTCAAAAAACTAAAATCAGTTCTCAGAGATAAAATGAGGTACAGAGATTGTTGGTGTTTTGTGAAGTACTTCAATGGAGGGAGAGGGAAGTCTGTTGGAAGTTAGGAGTAAGGGGAGAAGAACCTTTTTACTTGGATTATGTGACAGAAGACCTTTAACCTGCACTGGAACCACTGAACAGTAGAGTGGGGCTGCAAAGTGGTGATGGCAGAGCATCTTTATATTTGTTTTGTTCTAATAAAACTGCAGCTGACATTTACATTCATCCTGCCTGTCTGTTGTTCATATACTTCCTAACTCACCAACTGCTCAACACACATTTGGCTGAATAACAAGAATGGAAACTTTTTTAAATACTCAGTTCCAAGGCTGAAGTTTTATTGCATCTTAAAAAAAAAACCACAAAAAACCAAACTGAAATAGATTTCTCCTGTTATAACAATGAGCTGTATGTGTTCATCATAATGAATATATTATTTTAAAACAGTCCTTGCAATTAAAATATAAAATAAAATTCAAAGGAAAATTACCACATTATGTTTAGTTGTGTGTATAAAATACTTTGATTTTTTTTAATATCAAAGAAAAACTTTGAAAATTAATTTAAAAACAAAATTCTGCACGTTCACCATGCATCATCTTAACATCTCTGCACACCCTGCTGGAGTCAGACAAACTGCTTTGAAGTTTAACTTCTATAACCAAATAATTTAGATACACTGGAAGCAGCTCACAAAGAATAGTTTGGACAGTATGTGTTTTGATTGTTGAACCTAAGTAATTGTTATTGTTGGGATTGAAAAGTTAGAATTTCTTTAGAAATCTTTAAATGTAACTGATGATGCAGTGCTACCTTACAAGGACGTAAGGAATATTGCCTATGGATTTTCATCCTCATAATTGGGGGCTCATCCTAAGACTCATAATTGCTGAAATGGAGACCCACAACATAATTTACCAGTAAATAAATTGAGTTCAGAATTGTGTGAACTTTTTGTTACACGTGAAAAGGGCATTTCTGTCAGGTCTTTATCATCCAAGGTGCCATTTAGCAGTATAAGCAAAGGTAAATAAATCAGATACAATGAGAAATGGATTTTCAGAAAGTAACTTTGAGTGTAAAGCTCTAAATGATCCAAAAGTTAATTCCATGAAGAAGCAAATCTTTGCTTAAGAGTACCTCAGATATAGTGGTGTTACATCTGGAAATATTTGGGATTATTCCCTTCTTAGAGAAAATCATAAATATATATATATAAAAAGTTTAAAAGTATAGTTGCAAGTCTTACATTTCTGAGACCACAAAATCTAGAGCCTAACTTTTGTAATGCTTTTCTTGATTGAAATTGGTATATTCTTAAAGAAGTTTCTATTAGATGAATATTAAGATCATTAATAGTTCATAGTTCTTGGGTAGTTGACTGAATCTGTGAGCTACATTTAGCTGTATATATTTTGTCATTTTGCACATCATTAATACAGTTACAGTTTTTGTGTAGAGTAACTGTGAAAACTCTGTATGACAGACAATTAAAACTTCTCTTTATGTTTGTTTTGGCATTTGACATACAGTATCATGCCTTTGATATGTAAACAGCAGCTTAAAGATTTCAGGCAAAGGAGGAAGGAAACTTTTGACTTGCTAATGTTGATGGTTAAATTGTGGTTGCCACATCTGTGTTGTAATAGATGATGGAACTGGGCTCACTGTGATATTCTAACAGCTTATGTTGTTAATATAAATATTTAGCATAAGGGAGATAGGTTTGTTTAATAATTTAGTCTGCAGTTACAAATGTTTTCCATAGTCAATGAAAAGAAAAAGCTGCCTTTTATATCAGAGGGATTTTTGTAGTTTATTTGCTATAAATATGCTCCTTTTTTTTTGTCTATAAACATGTTTATTTTGAAATTTATGAAATTTAGTTTTCATGTTCAAGTTTAACAAAAAAATCTTCTGGCCTCAAGTTTCACATTTGAGTACTTCCTAAATTTAGACAGTTGTCATCTCCTTATTACACAAAACAAAGGCACATTGAAATCCAGTCCTAGCCTGTGGTGTGTATTTTTTTATATAGTGTGTTATTTTTTCGATTTTTGATAAAGATTTTATGTCAATTCTTTGGTTTTTACTTAAAGAACTAGAAAAATAGGCATGAGAATTTTCATTAGTTGACTAGATTAAAAGCAAATCATCTAACACTGCATTTTGTACATACAGAATTGTCAGATACCTGTAGTTCACAGTAGCCTTATCTAATCTAAATTTTGGATAGGTAATAAGTAGCCAATATTATTGAAATATTGTGATGAAAATTAATATTGTATAAATATAGATACAATTTTGTGTGTACATGCTCAGAAGTGTGTGTTACAAGCTCTAGTAATTATCATGTATGTAAGCCTATCAGTGATAATTTCAGCTGTTTGTTACTGTGAAGTTTGTTTGCTTTCTGAAAGGATTTTGGAATAAGTTCACTTCAGTGTGAAATAAGTTGTTTCCAAATTATTTCTAGGCACTGGAGACTTTGAAAATGTTTGAAAAAAAAGATAGCCGAGTAAAGAGTGCAGCTGCAACAAACCTTTCATTCCTTTATTATTTGGTAAGTGTTTGCTTCAACAAAACTGGTTAAGAACTGTGGCTTATGTAGCAGGCTCTGTATTTTTGTAGCAATTGCTGTGTCTGCCTAAATAATCTCTGCAAACAAGAGATTCTCTTGAGATACTCTACTACCTTAGAGTAGTTATTCTGGAACACCATTGGGAATTTGGACGAAGTCCCTTTGTATACTGTTGATGGGAAGCAGAGTGAGATTGAGCCCCAGGCCACAGGAACATGCTTGCAGTTGGATTTGTGCAGAAACTCAGTGGCTGGATTTAAAACATTGGCCCTGGGAACCCCAGCTGAACTTCAGAAACACGTGAAATAGGTAGCTTAGGCAGGTCTGTTTGTGTATGAAGTTTGTAGGGCATGGATGTTTTAAATTTATTTTTTAGTAAATGCTACTTTATTGCAACAGAGAAAGCTTGCAGACTGAATGGGACAGAGTGGCAACTTGAAAGAGATGATCTTCCTTATGCAAATAAATAAGAACTATTTTAGGATGGAGTAATGGGGTTGTTTTCCATCCTCAATCCCCTGAAATTCCTGGAAGAAGCCACAGCTGCAAGAAAGTTACTTGACAAGTGACTAAGACAATGTTTGTTTTGTTCATGTAGGGGAATGAATTGGAACAAGCAACTAACTATGCAGATTTAGCAGTAAATTCTGATAGGTACAATCCATCAGCTCTAACTAACAAAGGAAATACTGTTTTTGCAAATGGAGACTGTGAAAAAGCAGCTGAATTTTATAAGGAAGCTCTCAGGAATGATTCCTTATGCACTGAAGCACTTTACAATCTTGGTAAGTCACAGGTGCTATTGTGATTTAGCTTTTGACTGAAGGTAACACTAGTGTTTCTGAGAATCTCTCTTTGAAAGTTTTCTTGTAGAAATATGTGTGAATTATTATTATTTTATCAAGTTCTTGGTCTTTGATTGGGTTCATGTTCCTTGTGTTTAGCAGTTTGGTAGGTCGTGCTGGCTGATAACAGTTCTGTGCATGGCTCTCACAAATAGAGAGTCCTTTAAAGTCAAGGCAGGTACACTGCCTCCAAGTACTATGCTTCTATTTTGCTTTTCTTGGTTATCCTTTCAGTTAATATTCTGAAATAATCTGTTTCTCATTATATTAATACTGTAACCTTTATTTTTTAGGTTTAGCTTACAAGAAGTTAAACAGGATAGATGAAGCTTTGGATTGTTTTCTGAAACTCCATGCAATCCTTCCCAATAGTGCCCAAGTCCTTTACCAGCTAGCAAACATGTATCTTTTTCTGAGTTATTATAAGGAATACTGGTTTTGGTAAACTCATTTAATCTGAAATACGTGTTTCAGTCATGTCAAAGCAATTTAAAAATTTACTATGGTGTCCATTATAGTAAGAATGATTTATTATCTGATGTTTGTGAGAAAAATGAGACCAGAACTTAATCCTTATTGAATATTTCCAGTGAAGCAAGTGAAGAACATTAAGACAGATTGAAAAGCTGAGGGAAGAGATTGGCTTTGCACATCACCTGTGATACCCTAAACTATGAGCTTCTTTAACAGTGCTTCTGAGGGTGTCCAAACTGTAAAAAAATCCTCCCCAAGGCAGAACAGATGCCAGCTGATGTACTACACTTTTAAGAAGAGTCTAAGTAATAAAAATATATTCTAGTCAGTAAAATAAAAAGCTCCAAACATACGAAAGGGCTCTGATCTCTATTGCATGTAAAGCCCCTTTATAGCAGCACAAATGGCCCAACAGCTCTGTGTCCATCTAGGGAAGAGCTTCTCTGTTTCACTGCTGTGTAAAACTGCTTTCCACCAATTCTCACAAGCTTCTTCAGTGTCAGGTAGGATGGAGTAGAAACTGAAAAAACAGGTTGGGCAGTAACTCCTGCTGACACTGCCAGAGCTCTGAGCCATTGTGCCATTCAGGAGGGAAGAGCACACTGCAGGCTGAGTTACAGCTAAAATTGCTGTTCTCTGGACCAGAATAGTCTGGACTGTGCTCCTTAGACATACAGCAGAAAAACCTCCTGCTGGCAAAAGGCTGTTCTTGGAATAGCAGTTTTACCTAATCACTTTAGAACAAAATGCTGCTGGTACAGAAACTTGCCAGGTTGTAAAGGCTGCAAATAAATGGCCTGGCTGTCACACTTTGTTCATATAAATGAGGAAGTCCAAGTCAGATTAGTGTCAGAGAGAGAGAGGACAAGTGAGCCCGAGTTCTGTTAAGTCTGACATGGTTCTCAGGTGAAAGAGCAGACAAAGTCTCTAAATACTTTTCTTCTTCTAGCATAAGAAAATTATTTCTGATGCAAATGAAATTATGAAAACAGTGTGGAAAAAAGAGTCATTGTATTTCCACACTACAGTGACTGGTGTAGTGTTCAGCATATGGATTGCATTAGGTAAAGTATTAGGGATTTCTAAATCAAACTACCATTGGCATCAGTCCTTGACTGAGGAAAACTCAGATACCAGATCATGGAAGATCCCAATCAAGCCATAGAGTGGCTGCTGCAGTTGATCAGTGTAGTACCAACTGATCCACATGTACTTTCAAAGCTAGGGAATTTATATGATACTGAAGGTGATAAATCCCAGGCTTTTCATTATTACTGTGAGGTAATTTTGCTTTTTCAATACACTTTGTCCTAAGTAAAGAAAATTTTGCCATAGGTTCCTATATGAAATTAATAATTGATTAATTTAAACCTTATAAAATGTCATCCAAAAAGAGGATAAAAAAAGAGATGCTGAGGGAGAGTTAACAAAATCTGATTTTTGTAGTCAGATCCTAAGGAAAATACATAGGGTATGTTTCCATGTGGATATTGGCCTCAGACTTTCAATTTTTTTAATGTAGTCATTGTTTACACTGACTTGCAATAATGTTAATTTAAAATATAGCCTGGGACAAAATAAAATCGGTATATAATAGAAGTCATTTTAGAGGTGTGTAATGTGACTGAGTTGATTGGAAGCTGTGTCTGTATAATATGGAGATACATATAGATTGTGTTTTGTTTATGCTTGGAAGTTTTTATATATTTTTTAACAGTATAGCTATACATTATGTATACACAGTTGCCTAAAGATAGCCAGCTTCTTTCATTTCAAACCAGCTGTACTACTGTCCACAGTTTGTAGAGATTCTTCTGCGTTAGAAATGAGAATAAGACAGAAGTGTCTGGTGCAATCCAAGAGTTCTCTTTCTTTATCTGTGCAAAGTGAGGATGACCAAGTCTGTGTTGTAATCTGAATTACCAGTTGACTTGTTCTTGAGGATAATTTTGTTGCCTATTTCAAAGGGAATTTCTAAAAAGCTGAAAATGCTATTCATGTAGTTATGTACAGAAAGGAATTCTTTGGGGTGAGTTTTCCAGCAGACAGATGTGAATGAGGAATTGTAAACTTATTAGTTAGCATTGTTTAATGTTTTAGGTAAGTTATTCATGTATAGATGTGATTTCAGTAAACGTTTTTGCTGTTACAAGCTATTTAAAATAGTATTTCAAATAAGGCTAGATGGAAAATGTGACAGGCTCATCTTGGATAACTTTTAAAAAGCATTCTGCAATTAGGAAACTTAGCATGCTTTCTTCCCCCCCCCACCAGGATCACTTCGTGTAGCACACTACTTCCATTCATTTATATTACATGTTTTGGGCATCTGGAGAATTAAATACTTGAGTAAGATATTCCAGAAGCAACATAAAGATGTTGTTTATCACTAAAGTTGTGTGGTTTTTCACCTTTCCTATTTTGTCAGTCGTACCGGTATTTCCCTTCCAACATTGAGGTCATTGAGTGGCTTGGAGCGTATTACATTGACACCCAGTTCTGTGAAAAAGCCATTGAGTACTTTGAAAGGGCAGCACTTATCCTGTAAGTAGTTATTATTTTATGCCTACTCAGATTTCTGATTAGATATCCATCAGAATACCTAGAGATAAACCAGCTGGATAACTTTAATACTATAAACCAACAGCAGGATTAAGAATATTTGTGATATTTTTTAATTTTCTCAACTTTCTGCTCATTTACAATGTGTTTTTGCTTTTACTGTGCATTTTCAGTGTTAAATAAAATCCTCCATTGGGCCCAAGAGAGGGTTAGCTATTAGAACCTATTTTTCTCTAGTATCTGCAATTAAACATAACTGTGAAGTGGAGAACAGTTCTCCAAAGCCACCAAGACCTCTTTCTCTGTCTTCATGTGAAATATTTCCTTTCTATTGTTTTGTTGTGCGGTGAGGATTTGGTGGTTCAGATTAGTGTGTGTTTTGGCTGATCTTACTGCATTTCCTCTTTTCACATGACTTCTACTTCCATCAAATAAGGCATGTAAGTAAGCAAAAATGTGCAGTGCTGTACTACCAGTAATCAGTGAAAATAAATTGACAATCAGTGAAAATAAATTGAGGCTAAACTGATCCTGACTAAGATATTTGAATTATGCTGAGTTTAGTTCAACAACTTAATTGCTGAAATTGTTCTTCAGCAGAATATGATGCACTTGAGTAAGTATATAGGTCACATACTTTATTTTAGTTCAGAAAGAGACCTCACTACAGAATGGTTTATAAATAAAATTTGGTCAAATTTAAATTTGTAATCCAGAGTTCAAAGAGAGTTCTAAGAACATACACAGTCTTTTTATCTGGAAACAAATATATGTCTATAGGTTCATGAAGAATTTTGTGTTAATAGACGAACAAAAATTCATTCCCAATAAGTGTGAATTTCTTTATTTTGTGTTTTAGGAAAACTATGAAAAGTTATGCAAAACTCTGTTATGGCTTCTCTTGTGATGGTCTAAAATTTGACATTCTTTTTGTTCTTGAATCTGAATGACATGTATGTACAAAACACCATATGAACAAAAAATTCATTCAGTATAATTCAAGGAGAAATGATTCTGCATATAGGTTGTAAGAAGTTCAGAAAAAAATCTCTGGCTTTGAGATGCTTGGGTGAGAGTAGACCTTAATTACAGATGAGAAAATCTAAGGTTAAATTAAGAATTAAAAATGAAAAAAAAATAGAGAAAAATAGACTTCACTCAAATGGTGATTTATTTATAAAGAAATAGAGAAGTACTTTAGACAAAAATGCACAGGAGAGCTGACAGAAATCACAGTTCACACGTTTGCCAGCATTCTTTTCCCTAAAAATACCGGCCACCTTAAAAAATCATTTTAGTCAAGCTATGAGATTTCATATGCTGGCATTCACGGCCTTCTTAGAAAATTTGGAAAGAAACAGCTGAGAATAAGAGGAATTATTTCACAATCTTGTTTTGGCAAAGATTTAAATATTTTGTGCTTCATGTCGCAGTCGCTCCATGCATTAAGTATGTGGATTGTAAAGTACTTATGAAGAATTGGCATATTAAATTCTTCAGTATTACTTGTAATTTATCTGTAATACAGAAAAATGTTTTCTTTATGGGAGGAGATTTTTAATTGTACATAAGACAGCATAAATATTTTGCTGTTTATTTGGTATTAAAAATAGAGACTAGATATGCTAATTGGTAAATATGAATGTAAATATAAATTGCTACTAACTTTAAATAAAGTTGAAATTTTTGAAATTATATCCTTATTTTAGCTGTCAACAGCATTTTAAAATTTTATTGTTTAATGCATTCAGTCTTTTAATCACAATAACTACTTTTTAAATTGCATTCTAAGATAACTTGTTAGACAATGAATTGGGAAACAGTTTTTCACTATTTTATTTTTCCTAGCACACTGAAGTCTATCCTTAATAAAAGGGCTTAGTGTAGTTAGTACTTGATGCTGACAATTTATTCTCTCTAGAGTTTTCATACTGAACTGAGTAATAAATTCTATTACGGTGTGTGTTTGGCTGCCTTTGTTTGCAGGAGACACATTCAGCTGAAGGTAAAAAGATGCAACATTTGTATTTCATGAACTTGCTTGGCAACTACCAGGCAAACAGATTGCTTAGAGTTAAAAATCGCCTGTGCTATGATTAAAGAGGAAAACTGAAGAGGATAAGTACAAAACTATTCTGAAAATATTAACTGACAGTCCCTTTTGGATATGCTACTGTTCAATTGTAAGCCACTTGTGCAACATTCTTTGGCTTATAGAGGATGCTTACACTGTTAACATGAACATTTCCTAATTTTCACATTGTCTGGGTAAAAATGATGAAAGAGTCCAACAGTTTTATTGCACATGCTCAAGCATCCCAAATATTTTCTCTGACCATACTGTCACCATTATGTGCTAAAAGAGAAGGACAGGCAGCAGCTAGGACATCAAGGTGATAGCACAGAGGAGGAGCCAGAGTTCAAAGCTGTGAGTAGGGACTGTGTTTCCTGGCAGGAATCCCTTGGGCATGTGTGGGACCCTAGTGATGGGACCTCCTCAGAGTACAATTTAGCATTTTGTTCCTCCCCCATTGCATGGTTCTGTATCTCTGACAAAGATTAGTGGTTCACATGTCAGGTCTACTAATTGTGTGAATCATGAACCTGAGGAAAAACTCTAGCATGGGACTGAAAATGTGACAGAGTCTTGGAAACAGGCGTGTGATGCAGCAGTGTGTGAGCTGAGCAGGATACATTCTTTCTAGGAAGGCAACATGGTAGGTTAAACATTGATTAGTAGGTAAATAGTAGATCTTTACCAGTGCTATGCAGATTATTTTGCTCATTCATTGTTTGGCTGTGTACGTGATTTTGTTTTGTTTATATGCAGGCCAACACAAGTGAAATGGCAGCTGATGGTTGCCAGTTGCTACAGAAGAAGTGGTAAGTTCTGTAACTTTTTTGTTATTGCTTTCAGGTTTGTAACATTTTTTTTGTAATTCATTGAGGTTGTTCAGCTGGGAGAATAATGAGAGGGTTTCATGGGAAGGATGGAGACACACTGGGGTCTGCAGTTCCAGGTCATGGAGCAACAGTTTTAAATTGAATAAGAGTAGACTTACACTGGGCATAAGGGAGGAATTTTTCATTGTGAGCATGGTGAGACACTGGAACAATGGTGTCATAGAAGAAGGTCAAAACAAAAACCCCAAAAATCAGTAACCTCCTCCTCATTAATTCTCTTATTTACAGTGTAATTTGGACTGTTTTCAGATGCTTTTAGTTTTTACTATCCATTAATAAAGAATGTTAAGTTTGTTCTTACAAATTTAGTCCTACAATACTAAATCATTATTTATAAAGATGAATTGATGTTAAGGTGTTCCAATTTCTCATCAAATATTCTTTTTTATATTTGAATGTGTGGATAGGAGATGTTTGTTTTGTTTGCAGGGAACTACCAGAAAGCTCTGGAGAAATACAAAGTCATTCACAGAAAATTCCCAGAGAATGTTGAATGTAAGTTGTCTCATTCTGTGGTGCAACTATCAAAGGAAACTTTGTTACATTGAATAGGTGTGTTAGTAATCATATGATGTATTTTTCATACAAAAATGCTTCCATTAACTAATATTTTTATTCATGCTAATGCTGTATGGTTTTTGTGACAACACTGACACGTGATTTAAGAAATGTGAGGATAATACTGAAGAAGAGCAATGAAAAGAAACTTTAACTGAGTTGCATTGGATGAGTTCTTTCTCATATATATGTCCTAGATTTTATAACTATGTTACTCATTTAATCTTTCTTCTGAAAAATATATGTATTTGTACTTCTGTTTCCTGTGAGTTGAAACTCCTGCTGTAAATTTCTAGATATGAGAAAATCTTATTGCTAAGTTTTGTCAAAGTCAGGGTTTCCAGAAAAAACATTGAGGATGAGATTTTTGTTGCTGGGTTTTTAACTATAAGTTGTCACCCAGTCTCTGGAAAATCCATAGAGGATTTCAAACTAAACTGCAGGAAACACAACTTTGAAGAGTAAGACATTTTGTAAAATCAGTCACACCTGTACTGTAAATAAAAAAGCCCTGTAGAAAATAAGGGTTGCCAGTGGTTGTGTAAACATTCTCTTCCATCCCACACCGTGCCTCACAAATTCCAAAATACAAGGTTGTTGCCAACGAGTCTGTGCTTTCAGATGCAATGTGGGAAGAACAGACATTGTATTTTATTTTAAAATTGTATCGTTCTGCTTTAACAAATGTATTGCTTTTTTCAAGAGCAATCACAGCTCTCTTGTACAAGTGAAATTCAATACTGTAATTCCTTAAAGTTATATGCAAAATGTCATGTTCCTGTTGCTCACACATATTTCAGAGGAGCATCTAGTAAACCTTTTAGAATGCAAATATGTTTCTGAACATAGTTTCTACAAATTTCACAAATGGAGGCAGGAGTTAGGCAAGACAATTTAACTGATCTAAGTTTTCTACTGCTGAAACAATGTTTCTTCCCTCATCCATCCCTGAGCATGGGCCTCCTAAACCAGCAGAAAACTAACTTAGCAAAAAATGAAATAACATGTTTGTGAAAGCAGTCTGGAGAGAATGGATCTTGTCCTGCTTGTTTCTGCTTCAGTTCTTTGAAAGGAAAGTTAACAAACACATAGGAATACCAACAGTGTTTTCAGAGTTTGGTAGAGTGTCTCAGGAGAATGTTTTTCAGGGATTCTTTTAGTTCAATCATACAGTTACATTTGATTTTTATGTCAGCTTTGTTGGGGTTTCTAATTCTATAAATATTACTCTTTGAAAATCAACCATACAGGAAAAAAACATTTTGATTCACTTGGCGTTTGCAAAATTGTTTTCAACAAAATTCTCTTGATAGCATCTCCTTAGTAATATTGTAGTATCATTTCTATGCTTTCCAGCTTCCAAAATATTTTGCAAATGTCAAGAGTTCTGAGCCAAAATAGTTAGTATGCCTTTTGCCTGCTACATATACCGATGGTATTTGTACTGTTCATGGATACAGACACAGAGAAAGTAGTGAATTACTTGCAAAATATCACAACTTGTGTGGTGATACTGGACTGGAGTCACCTTGTTTGCTGTTATTTGCACTGTTTGCCATTCTGCATGTCCAGTTCTGTCAGGGTGCACTTGTAGTTTGACCTGCTTGTAAGTCCTTTTCTAACAGTGCTTTGCTTTCCAATTTGTAAGTCCTTTTCTAACAGTGCTTTGCTTTCCAATTAGGCCTCAGATTTTTAGTTCGCCTCTGCACAGACATGGGGCTGAAAGAAGTCCAGGAATACATAACAAAGCTCAAGAAAGCAGAAAAATTAAAAGAAATCAGAGAGCAGGTAAGTTTGTTTCTGTGTGTATTACACAGTATTGCTGCAGAGGTAGGTGAAGCTAAAGTAATGTTTATGATACTTCAAGACAAATTGTATTGTTAACTTCCTGGTTTACAGAAGCTTATCTTTTGGGGTTTGGGAGACTTAGTTTTAAATTACTGATCAGTCTTACATCTGTCTGAATAGTTTCTGAGCACCAGATTTTCTGTGATTTTTAAATACTAGTGAAAGATGGTGGACATGAGGGAATGCCAGAGCCACTCACATAATTCAATGTCTGTGGAATGTCGTCTTTCCTACTCACTTGCCAGATTTTACTTAATACTTCAGTGGATTTATGAGCCAAGTAATAATGCAACTATAGGGAGAGATGGGAAGTCTAAGAATTTGTCCATGTAAAAGAACTCCTTTTTCATTATATACAAAACTGCAGCACTGACATATTATATAGGTAGAAGTAAACTATTCATGTGAGTGCCAATTTAAAAAAAAAAAAAAAAGAAAAGAATTCCATGGAAAAGTAACAGGCTGTGAAAGGTATGAGATCATAACTTGTGTTCCGTTCAGAAGAGTGAGCTCACGTTTGTGTGTGTGCACTCGTGCATTGTTGTCTTGCTATTCTGGTGATAAAATAAGATTTTAAAATTAAAAACAGCTGCTTGTTTGAAAAGCATTATCCATGCAAAGTATTCAAGCTTGCTTTGCCTATCCAGAGAATTGCCTCAGAGCTACATAGTCACATTAGGATACTTTAAGTATTAACTATCGAACTCTGCTCTTACTAACACTTATTGGTCCCTTTTGATGACAGATCATGTGCACATGCATTCTTGGCTGCTTCTGCTTAAGTTCCAGGGAGCCTGAGTATGCATGTGAGCATGGGGACACTTTAAAAATGAAACTCACAAGGGGAAGCACTGACTGAAGGATTGCAGCTTTATGCTGCAACCACACTTTGAGGGGCTAGCTGAAGTGTACTGACTGGGTTTTTCAGTAACTGTAAAATTCAAAGCACTTGGGAAAATGGACAAAAGAAAACAGTTAACAGCTGGATGGGATAGATATTTCTCTATGTCTCCCCATAATTGTATCAGTAAGCAAAACAGATGACCAGGTATAATGTACCTATGCTGCAGAACTCACAATAAAGAGATTCACTGAAGTGTGTTAAACAGCCTTTGCTTGGTTTCTGATCACTTCAGTGTCAGTAATATACATAGTTTGTTGCAGTAACTTTTGATACCTCAGTGCTTTACTTGAGAAAGCTCACCAACAAAACCAGTTAAAAGTGGTTTATTTTATAGTTGACTAGAGAGAGAGAGAGGTCCCTGAAGAAGAAAGGCCATTTCTTTGAATGTAATTCTGAAGGCATTAATTGTAGATGGGCAATGTCAAGGACTTTAAAGAAAACAGCTTTTTTTCTTTACAAAAGTTAGTATTTTAATACAATTTTAAAAAACCTAAAAATTGTCATGTCTCTTTGTTTTTTTCATATGGGAAGCAAGAGCTTTCCCAAACACATTATTTTCTGGTGAGGAAAAAGCTACTGATTGATTATTTAAAAGTTTAAATCCTCGAAGTAAATTAAGATTTTAGTAACATAAAAATTATGTTTAAATTATGGGGGTTTTTCATTCTGACTTCTTTGTGTTAAGGGAATTCATCAAGTCATACCTGAATGACAGAAGTGTCAGTGGGCTCCAACACAGACTTGTGGTTGAACAAATTATTGCACACTTGGTTTAGACCGTTCAGGCTTTAAGAGTGACCATAACTCAGCCATGGTGTGGGAAGCTCCCTCTGTGTCTTGCATTTCAGAATTCCTGTTTAACTCTATCCTGTCACAACACTAACCTTGCAAAGCTGGATCACAGAATGGTTTAGGTTGAAAGGAACATTTAAAGATTATCTAGTTTCAAGCCCCTGCTGTGGGCAGGGACACCTTCCATTATCAGGTTGCTCAGAGCCCCATCAAATCTGACTTTGAACATTTCCTGGGATGGTCATCCACAGCTTCTCTGGGCAATCTGTTCCAGTGTCCCAACATCCTCAACATATTTTTTTTCTCCTTCTCTACCCTCTCTCAGTTAAAAGCCATTATTCCTTGTCCTGCCACCACAGGGCTTAGTAAAAGGTCTGTCCCCATATTTCTTTTAAGACCCCTTTAAGTATTGAAAGGCCACAACATTTCCCCAGAGTCTTCTCTTCTCCAGGCTGTACAACTTCAACCCTCCCAGCCTGTCTTCACTGGAGAAGTGCTTCAGCTCTCTTTTCATCCTCATGGTCCTCCTCTGGGCCCTCTCCAACAGGGCCAAGTCCTTACACTGGATGCTCCAGAACTGGACACACAACTCTGGAGTTTCAGGAGGGCAGAGTAGAGCAGATCAGATAGGGTTTCTATGATGGCACTTTTAATTAGTCAAAGCTTTAAGATAGATCTGCTTAAATATTTCCTCTAGTGTGTTACCCAGAAAAGAAAAAAAATTAATTCAGCCTTTTGAATAAGCCTGATAGTACTGTAATTTAAACTAAACTGATTTTCATTTAAGCAGATAAAATGAAATGCAGTATGCGCGGGGGCGTCCACGGCCCTGGAATCCGGCTATCTGGTGAGGGGTGAAGGCCAGGGCCCCTGCGCATCAGAAAGCAGCCCCCCTCGGCGTCTTGGCCTCGGGCTGAGCTGGGGGATAGCTTGGAGCAGCGCGGTGAGAGACGAATTAGGAGGCGACCACTTGCTGGGGGTAAACTGTCGGTTTATTACAGAAGAACCAACAAGGAGGGGAAACACCCAGCAAATGGCCCCGAACAGGGGGCGAGAGAGGGTTTTAAGGGAAAAGGGGGGAAGAAGGCAGGGAAACCCGGCTATCCAATAGAAATACATATTTGGAGGTACAAAACATAACTGATATACTAAAGTAACCAACTGTTATAAATCATAGGAGGGGCTCCGGGGCTACAGCCAACCATAACTCCCAGAGAAAAGAAAATTCTCGAAACCTGGGAGGAGAAAAGGGGTGATTGACTGAGCCCAAGGAGGAGGCACTTTCACTTTATAAGAGAAACCAGGGGAGGAGCAGTTTCATTTCCATAGCAACCTAACTGACAGGGTCCTGGGAAAGGAAGAAACCATTTAATACAGAAAATGGGGAGAGCAAACTAACAAACTTAAGAACACACCACAGCAGCAGTAAGTTTAAAAAACCCAAACAAACCCCAGACAAACACACCTCTTTCCTTTGTGCCCCCTAAAAACCACAGTCAATAATAAAAATACAACAGGTTTCTTGTCAGTTCTGTCAGCTTCATTCCTGCAGACAGGCCAGTGTTTCCAGCCTGAGTAAGCTCTGAATGGGTGCAAAATTCTGCCCCTGTGGTTCCGAGTGCACTCTCTTCAGCACCTCTGAAGTCTGATCAGGTGCTTTCTGCTCCTTGCTGCTCCTTGTCGCTCCTTGTCTTGGTGGGACATGCTCCCATCTCCTCCTCCTGCCTTTCTCCTCTGCCAAGCTCTCAAAACTTTCCAAGTTCTTTCCAAAGGAAAGGAACAACTTTTTCTGCTCCCAAGGAACGCACTGACACAGTTTTCTTAGTAATGAACACTGTTGTAGTTGGTAAAGGAGCGAAGACACTAAGGAAAGATGTTTCAGAGCACACTGTGACTCAGGATGCAGCTGTCCTGCATTAGTACTGGAGTATCTTTCTGTGACAATCTCTGCATCAGTGCTGTCCTGCAAACAATAGCCCTGCAGTTCCTTCTTTTGCTATTGATGTTACATCTGGGTTCCCATCCTCTGATTTTGGGTTTGGGAAGGTTTTTTTTGTTTGTTTCTTGGTTGGGGGTGGGTGTGTGATTTTTAGTCTTCTTTCTGCCATCTGGCTTTGGAAATTACTAGGGTTTTTTTCCTAAGTTCCTTCTGTCATCCATGGCCATACAGTCATAAACTATACTTCCTAGATCTAAAATTACCAAATTTTAATATTTCACCACCTAAGTTTCCAATTGGAATACTGGTTTCATTTAGCAGTACCAGATACAGTTCAATTCCTGCTCCCAATTTTAGACTACCCCTTGACTTCTCAATTGCACCCAGTAAAGACAAAATAGGTAAAATGCTAGGATAGTATACCTGCATTTCACAGTCTGCACACAGACTTTGTCTTCCTATAGAAATTTATCAAAATTTTCTATTTTGGCATTGTTTTTCCAGAATAAGTATATCCACATGGAGTTTATACCAAAATAAATATACTGGAGTACTTATTTCCCTCAGTTCTCAAATATGGACAAGTTGTTAAATACTTCCAGCCAAGAATCTGGGAACATCTGTGGAGTTCATTCCCTGTAGAAATTGTTCTCCCTGCTTCTCACAGCATTTAGTTTTTACTGCAACCTTCATATATTGGAATGTTGGAGGGATGGTGGGGGTGGGAGCTGGGGTCTTTTGTTTTGTTTGTTCGATTGGGGTTTTTTACTTCATTAGTCTTCCTTTTTCATGTTTCACTCTAAAAAAGACAGGTAATAGTGTAAAAGTTCACAGAGCCTCCTTGGCACTGCTGTGCACACACATTACTGTTTATTTCCCTTCAGTGAGCTTAATGGCTGAGAGGGGGCTGATGGGCTGTGCTGAGGAGCAGTGATGAGAGGTGCAAATGCTGCAGGGGCCTTACTGCCTTTGCCTTCAGGCATCCACATCTGGGCTAACCATCCCAAATGTCTTTTGCAGTCATGGGAGAAATAGGCTTTTTTAGGGTGGAAACCTATTTTGAATGTCTGCTTTTAGTGTGGGGTTACTTACAAACTACTCACTTGGAATTTTACAGGAGTTAATCATATGTTTAGATTGTAGTTATTATGTTATATTTTGGGAGAAAGGTCCTAGGGTGTAAATGCCAAGAGGGCACTGTCACATAGGAACTGCTTCCCTTGGGTGGACAGAAGCTGAGCTGCTGTCAGATTTGTTGTCAGTCATTCAACAGCTGGGAGAGTCTGGACAGGCTTCCTGAAGGATTGGTATATGCTACTTCACTGGGCTGTGAAAAGGATATTTAATCCAAGATTCAGAGAACATATTTTAGGCTTGAGGATTTCCCAAAGCAAATAAAAAAGTGTGAGAAATTCTGGTCCCAGACTGAATTGCTCCAAGAGCAGTCCTGGTTTCACACTAGGCTCAATGCTTTCCTGTCTGACTCCTGTGGGTTTTGATTTAAGAGTTCTTCCTTTTTCTGTTGGCATGAATCTTGGAACTTCTTTCACTTCTTTGGTATCATTCCAACTTTGCCAGACTTTATGATATTTTTCTGGTGAAAAATGAGTGAAGAATTCATAGTAATTGACCTGGAGACATGATGTGTCTTTTAATCAGATCCTGAATTCCTATTTTGAAGTAAGATGCAGAGATACTTTATTAATAGCTGAGTGCTTTAAACATCAAGTTTTTGTACCTACCTATCAAAAAGTCCCTCATTGAGGTGTCCTGTCTCATAATTGACAAGATGTACACATAAGAAATCTGGTGTTTTGCCAGAAGATCTAAGTCTGCCATGTCATACAAAGGTATTGCTTTGATAAACTGTTAAAATTTTCAAATAACACTCAAAAAAACACAGCTGGGAGATGTTTATGGTGCATTCCCCTATGCAAGAGAGCTGACTTTTTAAACACAGCTTTTAAAGTATTTACCTTCACCTTTGTCTTGCATTTAACACTCAACAGCAAATTAAATTTTGCTGTGAAATACAGTTCTGTGCCAAAAATTCAAAATCCAAGATCCATAGGGTGAATAGTTCTTTTTATAGATTCCCCCACTTCTCCCTTTTGAGTCTTTACAATAATAAAATGCTTGTGGGATTTACAAGATGTTAATGGGCAGAGGCTACTTTGAACTCATGCAAGGAGAGCTGTGTTGCCTGTTTTTTCAGCTGTACTTTACAAAGGAACATCTGAACTATTTTTAGGCACATTCCTTGTATAAATTTTATCTGAAGAAAAATAATTTACTGAGATATTCTATTTGAATTTCACAGAACTCTTGTTTTATATAAACATTGGATTTAACCCTGATTTTAAGGACAATTTTATGTGTTGAAAAGCAACCTTTAGTAGTTACAGTGTAGTAAGTCTAGTTTAACATTCTTCTACTCTTTTATTAACAAGCTGAGTTTAATTTTCAGTCATTTTCTCTAATATATATTAGTAAATGAGTTTTTTTGTTCTGTTCTTTTCAAACCTTTTCCATTGTCGTGCAGCGCATTAAATCTGGCAGAGAGGGCAGCGCGCGCAGCCGCAAAGAGGGAAGTGGTGGTAAGTAGTCAAGGCCTCTGCTTAAATATCACTTTTGACAGGACCCTGAAGGAAACAGATTTTCTGAAAGTGTTTCTAAAGCCTCCTTTCATCCTGAAACACCCACAAATATGCACTGAGTAATATGTAAGGGCTTCAGAAACTTTGTTTCATACTTTTTGATTTTCTCATTGCAACCGGTACAGTAGCATGGATGTGGTCCCACATTTATGTTTTATATACAGACCTTATTGTATGCCTAAAGCTAAATTTCTGATTGTTTTCAGTACTGTGGACATGAATGTTTTTATCCCATTAACTTGGTATTTGAACATTTTTAACTTTGGAATATTTACTAAAAGGAATAATTTGTTACAACAAAACAGAACACTCAAGCCATGGAAATTAGGAATTCATTGTTTCTTTATTTAACATGAAGGAAAAGGAATTTTGTGTCCACCATGTAATCCGCAATGATAGGTGTTCGTTACAAGTTCAGCACATTGTTCTGTGCAGCTCTGTATTAAGGATAACATACCCTTTACTATCTTTGAGCTCATCCTTCCCCTTATCTCTGAGTAGCAGAACTGAAGTTCTAGAGTCTTTCCTAGAAGAAATCTTCCTCCCTGGACACTCAGTTTCCCTGCTTCTATAAATTTGCAATCCTGATTTCCATAAATGTAAAACTCCTGCAATGTAAGTCAGGAAACTGCCCTGTATTGTCTTTTCTGCACTAGGTAGCCTGCGTATTGCAGGGCAAATGAATTTTCCCTCCCATTATTAAATCCATGAAATTAGTAATGTAAACCTAACAGTCCCCCACTGCTGCTCTAAGGAAACTAGAAGACTTCAGGCTACTTCAACCACCTAAAAAAAAAAAAAAAAAAAAAAAAAAAAAAAAAAACAACCAAAACCCCATATTTTAACCCAAAAAGGAAATGGTTTATTTGTATCCTGCTTTTCATTTATCTTGATATCAATGGGTTTCATTAGAAGATATCCCCAGTAAATTCTTGCCTCTCTTCCCTTCCTTTTACAGAGAAATATTTTTTTTTTCTTATTTGGTAATTTTATTTCTCCACCTACATAGAAGATATTTTACTACACTTATCGAATTCTATAGGGTCAAGAAAAGTCATGGCAATTACTTATGTAATCTGAAGATGACCTTAAAATGCTGTTACATTTATGAAGACTGCTTCCTTGGATTTTCTGAAGCCTGAGATTGAGTGTTAGGTGCTTGAGAGAGATCTCATTCCTTTTCCAGCTCAGTAGTTTCACTAGAGAAGCTTTTAAATAATTTCTTGATGTGTGGAAGAAACAACCATTCACCTAGGATTGAATTTTACCTGTTCTGGGCCTCAGGCCAAAGTAATTCTTTATTTAAGTAGCAGAGCAGGGTGGAAGAGGATGGAGAGTTTCTGGGCCCTGCTTTGGTACATAAACCGTGTGATCAGGCAGCCAGCTGGAGGTGCCAACAAAGCAGCACTGTGAGGCAGGATTGGTCCCTGTTCTCTGTCATTAAGAGGAATCCACTTCAGCATCCAGCAAGTAGAAATGAAGAGCAGCATTGGAAACAGGCAAGGGTATTTGCAGCTGTGCAAAACTTTGCATCAGGTGTGTAGGGAAATGACACAAAGGGTCTCTGCCAGCTTTATTTTGTAATTATCCCCACCCTCATTCATGAAAAAGGGGCATGTTTCAGGAGGGAGAGAGTAATTCAGCAAAAGAAGGTGTACCTAATGCTTATGCTGAAAGGATGCTAAGACAACATAAATCCCACAAACTACCAGTTTGTCAGTATTTCTTTTAAAGACACAAGTATCTATGGAAAGTTTTCTTCCTTTTTTAATTTTCTCTTTTTTTTTTTTTTTAATTTTAAAAGCATAAGAAAGGGGATGAGAGGTTAAGAAGGATAAGTGTTGATCTAGAATTTGCCCTATCAGTAATTCTTAGATTGTTGAGTTTGAGATATTATGTCAAATATATGAAAGGGTTGAAAAAATCACAGTTTGGGAACAAGTCTGTGTAAGAGCATGTTTGAGAAGTCTTCATTATACAAATTCAGTGCCAGAGATCCAGCCTTTCTGGAAATGACTTGGCAAACAAGCAAAGGTACAAAGAAGGTCCTGTACTGAGCCTAGAGTTAACTTCCTGCTGGGATTCTTAATTAAAGTTGTGGTGAGCTGCACTACTTGTATGTATTTTTAGAATGAGTCAAAGGCACTGGGCACATTTTAACTGGTAATGTTGGCTCTAGGGAGCCTTATCAGTGAAGAACCTGCACACTCACAGCATCAGATGTTAAGGCCTGGGCTGGATTTTGTCCACATTGTACTGAGGGTGACTAATAGACACCTGAACACCCAAACATTTTATTTTGTCCAAAGCTTGGCTTTGTTCACCTGGGTTATGAGCTGTAATTTGCAGTTTTATAAATTTCTGTGCATGGCCTGTGTGAAGATGTGTATGAAATATAAACATGGGTTATTTTATTTCATAATATTAGTATGCTTTTGGTAAATTATTGACTTCAAAAGGAGAGGAAAAAAAAAAAGTATGCATTTTAAGGTTAGTCTTTTCCAGTGGTGTTGCCAAGACCAAAAGGGTTCATTTTCCTATACTGTATGAGGGATTTGCCATCATTACTGAACCCAGTGAAGCATGGAATCCTCCGTAGTTTAGTACTTACTAGCTAAATCAAAGTACTTACTAGCTAACTGAAGTCTTATGAATTCCAAATATTTTAAGTATGATGCCTGTTTTTTTTTCTTTCCTCTTAGCAGCTCACTGTCCTCATACTTGTCAGCATTCCTATGAGATTTTTCCCCCCCAAATATTTTGTCCCCATACAGTTATTTATATTAAGAGTATTAATAATTCAGGTTTCCTTGTTTTAGGAATTATGATCTAAAATTGCTTTTAAAGAGGAAGCTAAGAAGAAAGAGAACTAAGCCAGCAAGGTTTGTACTTCACAGGGCATACTTTACAGGCACGGTACTTTGCCAGTATAAATTAAAACAGAAAGGTGTGTGAGATGCACCACAGCACAATTTCAGCAATATAATTGGTGTGTGCATGAATGGTAGACAGAATGGAACAGAGAGATCAAGAAAACTGACATCTATATATCAATATCAGTTAAAGTCTGCTTTTGTCCTGAGAGAGAGAGATAAGCATTAAATCTAAAATCCTTACCCAAAATTAAACACATTTGTCACTCACTATAAAAAGGGAAGTTTTCTTCTCCCCACAATTATCAGATTTATGGTTTTCAGTCTTACTTGGGTCATGTTGGAAGCAAATGACATTGATACAGTTCTGTTAATCTTTTTTGTTTTGTTTTGTTTTTTATTTTAAAAAGGAGAAAAAAATCCCCCAAAACCACAATACCATGAAACCTTGAAGGAAGCTAACAGTAACATCTGAGTTTAGGCACTTCTCAAAGATTTTCTTTCCATTAATTTTTTTCTTGTTTTCATACCCACTTTTTTGTGTTTTGCAGATACATGATTGTAATATCCAGAACTTAGCAGTTGGTGCACTGTGGTTTTTACCAGCATAAGGAATTTTTCCTGACTGATAGCATAATGCCTTTTTAAGTGTAGATAGTGCAAAGTATGACGTTAAGGAATCCATTCCCATGGCAGTGTTTACTTGGTGTCTGCATTTGCCCAGCTCACTGAATGGGCAGTTCTGTGCTGGGTGAGAGGAGCCGTGCAGTCTCGGACAGCAGCCCGCAGAAGCAGTGTTTGAATTCAGGAGAGGAAAGGCTGAGTACTTTGCATTCTCCTTGTTACCTAGGCCTGTCAGGATGGATTTGGAAAATAAACCACATGGGAATAATTTAGGTGTCTTTTCCCTTTTTCATTTCACTGGTGACTGTGTCCGTTTGTCCATCCCCAAAGATTTCCCATATTCAAACATGCTTTACCATCCCAGAGGGATCTCCTTATATATTATGGAAGTATGTTTTAGATGTTTGAGCTGTAGGCATCCCAGATAATCCTGACTGTGATAAAGATGAGATTTTCTTGTTTCTCTGCAGCCAGGACATGGCAATCATTTATATTTGCTAGGCTTTGTGTGCCTGTTGATGCCTCATCAATTGCAAGTCGTTTTGGGAGGGTTCCATTGGCTGTGTGTGAAGAACAGAAAAATAGAAAAAAGTTTTCTTAATTAATGGAGAAGGGAAAATCTGTTGAAATGAAGAGAACATCTTAGTCTGTTTTCTGCTCTGAACTCACCTAAGGAGTGAGCTGCACTGACACACCACAAACAATTTTCATTCAACAGAATTTCAAATCAAAATGAACAGCAGCAAAGTTATAAATTGCATCTACTTCCCATGCTGTTTCACAGTTTTAATATATTATTCTGCCTTCTGCACTGAACTTACTCTTCTCTTTGGTCAAACCAATGCCAATTCTTCTCCAAAGATGGTGTCTTCATCCTAAATATGAAAGATACACCAAGCTGCACTTTAAACACATTCTGGAGTTATTGGAGAGTTAGCCCACTGCGCTCTTTGTTTCATAAAGATTTTACAGAGGAGGTAGATTACCAAACAATCTTACCCTTTTATGTCTTTTCTTGATGAGTAAAATAGTACTAAAAGTTCTGATTTACGTCCTTTGTGGTACTGGAGGAATTTCCAATGCAATAGTGTCATCACTGTAATTGCAACTAGTTGGATTCCTCTAAAAAAATAAATACAAATACAATGGATTTTTTGGTTTGAAGTACACACAGGTATCGTGTGACACAGGAAGTACAGAAACATAAAAAGACGGAGAATCTTTTTTGCTAGGTATCACTACTTAAATTACAAAATAGGATTATTTTTGCAGTATGTTGCATTATTCATTGTTCTGCCATATAAAATTGGTCATTTTTTAAATTAGGTTTTATATTTTTATTCTTTTTAATTCCCATCCAAATTCTATGTGAAGGAATTAGTTCAAATCAGTTTTTGTAAAACATCGAACAACTCTGAATGAATGAAACAATTCTAATAGATTAATTTAAACATTCTAAATATAGTAATATGGCTATGACTTTTGAACAGATGAGAGGAAGGAATGCACTGTAAAAGATATCAGCATGCAGAGTGTATTATTTATGTCCTTGTATGCATAGTCCTCAGTTAAGGCTATTTAACAGAGACTGTGAGGGGAAGGTAATGTCAGCATGGTAATCCAAATCTCAAGTATTATGATTTTACAGAGTAAATATATTTATAAATCAGATTTTATATTGACCAGCTCTGCTTAATCGGTTCCTGTTGCTTTTTCAACTGAAATCTGGAGCTGTGTTCCTGTGGTCACTTCATGGGTACGTGTCCACATTGTCACCCCAAAATGAGCACAGTGGGGATGGCCTCTGCATGAGCTACAGTAATAACTTACTTAATAAAAGCCCAATAAGTTAATAAATAAGAACTGGGTATTAATTGCAAGTTTTCCTTAGATACAGAGAGCGATTTAGTTCAGCAGTGGTCTTCCATTATTCAAAAGCTACTTTGAATTAGGTGCTGGTGTTTGTACAGTTAATACAGTAATAGAAAATTAATTCGCAGTTTCAGAAATATCTGCCTGTAGTCCTCTGATTGTAGGTACAATCAGAGACATGTTAACACTCAAAGCTGTGCTCTTAGTAGATAAAAACTACAAATAAAGCTTTTCATCCTCACTGATATCTTTGTTTTCTTCTGTGTATTACTTTAGTAAAAGTTAATTTCATTCCCATAATTCAAAATGTATATAAAATCTTTTTCCTAGATGGGGTGAGAGCAGCAGGGAATGATGAGTAGGAATTGTGAAACTTGCCTCCAAAAAGTATGTGAGTTTGTGTAAAAAATGCTTTAAAAACAACTCCTTTTCTGAAGTCTTCTTTACTGTAGGATACCAAAATCCTGAAGTCTATATTGCAAGCTTATATTCCTTAATATTGCCAAATTATGTGTGAATGTATGCTAAATAAAAAACATGTAGATGATTCTCCAAACAGAACTACAAAAAGTAATTTCAGGATGATATTTAGACTTCTGGCAGATCATGTTATATGGTCAACAGAATTTTTAATAGCTGCCATATTGGCAGCCAAATCCTGTATCCCATGGCAAGAGTGTCAAGAAAAGCTTACCCCAAATGGCTTAACAGCTGGGGCATTCCTTGTGAAAGCTGGAGCTGTGGGTTTGAACTCCCTCAGGTGAAAGCAAGCACTGAGCCAGACATCTCACTTGCTGAGCTGCTGTCTGACATCTCCATGTAATGCCGATGGTGTCAAGCACCTCTTATTGCTTCTGGGTGCACTTTAAAATGAAAGGTGCTCCTCTTCCTCATCTTCAGGTATGCCCAGAGCATACTGCAGTCCACAGAGACTTGATGTGGTTTTGCATATTAGTCTAATCTAAACTAAATGTGAGGAACTAACCAGAAGGGTTGTTTCTCCTAACTCTTGCTGGATATAATGCTCATACAGAAGTAAGGTGAGCAGTGTTACTTTGCTGATCCACCTGAGAAAAGATTTTCACTAGGTTACTTTTAAATGTACCTAGTAAAACTTAAGGATCCTAGAACATCTAAAGAAGCCTCTGTTTTCAGCTGTATTTTTTTAGGGCAGTAAGATGTGCAGGTAACTAGTGGGTATTCTGTTAATCCCACTCAGTTTGGTTTGTCTACCATCCTTTTCTTCCTTCTTTCACTTCGTATAAAGTCTTTCACCTTCCTCTGGTATCATTGCTAACACCCATGTGTTCTCCTCCTTCACAGCTGAAAACATTTGTTATGCCATTTTCCTCCTCTTTTCTTTTCATTACATGCAGTTCTTCCTTTCTGGGACCAACCAATTAAACCTATGGAGTTTCTTCAACCAGCTCAGTCTTCCCCTGGTGTAGTCTGCTGTATTGTTCCTGTCTTTGCATCTCTTTACTGCTCCTTACAACTTTATTTATCATGTTAAAAATTGTTTTCCATCATGCAAGACTGTGCCTATTTCTATCCTACTCTTTTTCTCATTGATTATTTGTATTTTCCTCAAAACATTTTTATCCACAGCATCTCTGAAGGCCAGCTCTCACCTCCTTGCTGCACAGGCCTGTCCAGAGCCCAGTCAAATCAAGGGGATGCCCTTTTGTAATTTCACAGCCCTTTAGTTGAGTTTCTCTCCAGGGAAACTCATTGTTTTCTCCCTGTTTCTTCAAATTCTTCAAATATTACTTCTTTTATGAAACCTGTCAGTGAGAATTGGTCCAAGGGAAGTGGATGTACATTAAGATATGTGTTCCTTGCTTTGAAATTTCAACTGCAATATGTGTCTTGTGAACTTATTAACTGTTTGACGTAGCTGTTGTGTTAGATCTTTCTTGGAGCAGAGACGTCTTCCAGTTTAGGGTCGAGCAAACAAGTCTGTGGTAGTATTTATAGAAAGATAAATGTTTGTCATCTTTTTAGACCTTTGGGAGGGAGTTTTTTTTCCTTTTAATTATAACAATATCTATTAAAATAACATTTGTAGTAAATAAGACAATGGAAATATGTTGCCAAGTCCAGACTTTGTAATTAATGTTTGTTGAATGAAACCCATTTTTCCTCCTTACGATGGAAGACTTTTAATACCCACGTTGTTTGGTGTTGTAAATGAACACGTCTCTATTTGGCTGCACATCCTGCCATGTAAATATACCAAGTCAAACTCAAAATGTTTTCTCCCAGGTGAAAAAATATTGCATAAAAATTTGTTGTAGCAGATGAGATTGAAAGCTTGCCATGAATGTGCAAAAGGGAATCAGAGGTGAAGAGAATATTTCAAGTGTCTGGAATACTGCTGTGGCAGGAGAATGTTAATCTGCTGTTGTTGGGGCAGGAGGCAGCCCTTGGAGCCGGCACATTCCTTGGGGCCCTGCTGCAGAGGGAGCTGCCAGCAGAGTTTACAGCGAGCTGCAGGGCCAGCCTGCTCTGTGCACATGGGCTGACCCTGCACATGGCAAATGTGCTCTTCTCATTAAAAGCTAACTTAAGTGTTGCATTTAACCTTGACAGTACTGAGCAGGTGCATCACACTGATGTGTCAGTAAGCACACAAACATAGGAAATGTCCAGTGTACATTGTGACAGTGTTTATATATTTATCATGCTTATTTTAACTCCAAAACGTGCCTGTAATTTATAAGCAACTGAAATGTCAGCATTCGAAGCAGAAATATTTTAATGTGTTTACCCCAAAGTCATAAGGCTGTTTATATTTTTTAAAAAACGTTAACACACACGTGTGTGGACACAGTGTCCACTGTGTTTAAAAGATCACTATTACAAATGAGTACTGTGTCTGCCATGAAAAGATGGTTTCATCCAAGTCCAGTTTGACAGATAGTAGTAGCTGAATTGGTGTTATTCTTGTATCGTGGTTTCACAGAACATAACAGTATGTTGTCTTTTTTTTTTCTTTCTGTTCCCCAGATAGTGGTGGTACCAAAGGGGAAAGACTGAGTGCCAAACTGAAAGTTCTGCCTGGAACAAATGAACCCTATGAAGGTAGCAGCAGTAAAGAAATAGGCAAGTGGACATCTTATACCTTTTCTAATTTCATGGTCCTCAGGAAGAGGAGAAATAAGGAGAGAGGAAAAAATATAAGTTGTTGGAAGAGTATGTAAAATTAGATAATTGGGGAAACATTTTCCCATGAAAATGAGGCTTTTGCTTCATTGTTCAGAGCTCACTATAAAGTAATTGTAAATATTAAGAAATGTCGCCCTTGTTAATATTACTTTCAATATCTGTCTGCTGTCTCCTTTAAGTCAGTTCTTGTCATTCTGCAGTCATAGGTTCTTCAATAAGACTGGATTTTCAAAGGGGTTTAAAACCTCAAATTCATGTGGAATGTGGTACTTCCTAAAAAGCCATTCCTCAAACAAGTCATCAGTCTTGCTGTTCCTTGCACATTTCCAAAGTCTTTTTCTCACTGTAGTATAATTAGAAAAATTTTTAGAAAAAACACCAAGAGGCTTCTATCAGTAGAACCCTGGAACTTTGCTCTTGTTCCCTGCCTCAGTTCCTGAATGCAGTGTTTTGTTCTCCTTCAGCATTCACATGCTCATTCTGTCTGCATTTCAAAGACACAGATGTGTAGTGCTAAATCCTAATCTTGTATTTGATTTTGTATGTTTAAAACCAGCTAAAGTTAAAGCTAAAATAGTTTGTAACTGTTTCACATGTATTTATTTAAACCCTAGATGCCTCCTACGCAGATCCACTTGGCCCACAACCAGAAAGACCAAAAACAGCAGCAAGAAAAAGAACGGAGGAAGATGATTTTGCTGATGAAGAACTAGGAGAGGATCTGCTTCCAGAATAGCATATGGGCCACTCATCTTTTTTTTTAATCCTTGTAAAAGTTTTAGCTGAACACTTTTCATTCATAATGATTTTGTAGTGTATTTTTATAAACTATTCATTAAATACTTTGAACATGTGGTACCTTATGTAGAAAACTTGGATTTGTAATTGCAGTGTCTTCTGTGATTGATTAAAAAAATAATGGTGAGGTTATTTTACCCATGCATAAGATCTACACAAGTGCTCAAACACATTGCAAGCTGTATCAAATGTGTAAAGCTTTTCCTTTCAGAGATACATACAATGATAATATTAGAGAGAAGAGCCTCTAAAACTTCATCTTTTGATGCAGAATACCTCGAAGCAATGCTTGTAAGGTTGAAAATCCTGTATCTTTCATCCAAAGCCAGAACTTTTTAAGTCCTGTGAACTGACCTGAAAATGCTGGATATGACCTTGGTCTTCCTTAAGGTCCCTTAAGATTCAGTGAATCACTTTGCACTGATACCAAAGAAAGCATCTTAACTTTAGCCTACTCTTAGATGAACTAGGACCATTTTTGCAGTCTCTCAGCAAAATGTCCTTATTTTTGTTGGGTTTTTTTTGAGTGATCAGAGTTCTCAGGATTTCAGCCTAGTTTGTTCAGAATTGCTAATTAGACTGCAGCTTTTGAGTCTTATGAGTATGGGCAAAGTTAGTTACAGAAATCACCATTTTGCTTATGAACTGAACAAGTTGGATCCGAAGTTACTGAGACCTGTTAAATTCCTGTAGTAGGGATCACTTTGGGGAGATGAAAATATTAGTCAGGTGTTCATAATTTCCTAATAAATACTTGCAAAACTAGTCCACTGAGATGGCTTGTTTTTGGAACCCTGGCATGAGTTTAGTTTAATAGTTAGACTTTGGTCATTGCACTTTGAATTGCAAGAATTCAATCTTCTGAAATTTTCAGTGTTCCTTCTCAGTGTTGCTCAGTGCTGCTCAGACTGTTTGCCAGTGCCAGTGGAGAAGACTCTTTGTATCTTCATGACATGTTTTTTCAGGTTTTAGAAATGCTGCCCAGTTTGATAGGATGTCTGCAGTGGTCAGAAGTGTCCTGTGGGGTGTATGAGCTGCTCTGTGTGTAGCATGCTTCCCATGGGACCAGAGCAGAGTTTCATCTGGGATTGCACCACTTCCACCTGATGGTACGAGCAGAGCTGTTCAGTGCTGTTTGTGGAACACCCCAAGGAGCTCACCAAAGAAGAAAGACAAGGTAAGCTCTGGGGCCTGATCCTTCTAAGGGGTGGAAAAGAGCATGAGAAGGAAGTGGATGGCAGCTGCCTTATTTCTGCAAGTCTCTCTTGCCTGTTCCTCAGTCCTGCTGTATCTACTGCTCTGGTTGTACAATGACAGATTCCTGGATGTCATGGTAGTTCTTTCTGTCAGGCTTAGTCTTGGAATACACCAGGATGCAGTGTGCCATGCAGGAGGGAGTATTTTCAGCTCCAGAATGCAGTGGCATGAGGTATCAGAGTTAATCACAGTAAGAGACAATAAATGGGACTCTGGCAGGGAGCGTAGACAAACCTGTGAAACAGTGCAGAAGAGAAGGCAGGAGAGATGCTGCCATGGTCTTCTAGCACAGAGACATTTGAGTGGACTGCAGTGGGTTGACCCTGGCTGGATGCCTGGCACCCACTGAAGCCTCTCACTCTCCTTTGCAGCTGAGCAGGGGAGAGAAAATACAACAGAGGGTTCATGGGTTGAGATAAGGACCGAGAGAGATCACTCACCAAATACCATCACAGGCAAAATAGATTTAAATTAGAGATACTAATTGAATTTATTATTCAGAAATCAGAGCAGGATAATGAGTAGTAAAATAAACCTTCAAAACACCTTCCCCCCACCCCTCCCTTCTTCCCAGCTCTACTTCAGTGCCACACAGTGAGGCTCAGGGAGACAGGGGTCAGGGAATGGGGGGTCACAATCTATTCCGTGGCCTCTCCCATTGCTCAGGGAGAGGAGTTGTTCCCCTGCTGCTCCATGGGGTCCCTCCCATGGGAGACAGTTCTCCATGAACTTGTCCAATGTGAGTCCATCTCACAAGCAACAGTTCCCCTCAAACTGCTGCAGGGTGGGTCACTCTTCCCCAGGGTGCAGCCCATTCCAGGCCAGGCTGCTCCAGCATGGGTTCCTCTCCCCAGGGGCCTCCCACGGGGCCACAGCCTCCTCTCAGGCATCACCTGCTCCAGCATGGGCTCCTCCAGGGGCTCCAGGTGGATCTCTGCATCCCTGGGGATCTCCATGGGCTGCAGGGGCAGCTGCCTCACCACACTCTGCACCAAGGGCTGCAGGGGAATCTCAGCTCAATGCCTGGAGCCCCTCCTGCCCCTCCTTCTGCCCTGACCTTGGTGTGTGCAGGGCTGCTGCTCTCACGTGTTCTCACCCTGCTCCTCTCATGTCTTCTCTGGCCACAATTACCTCTGTGCAGTAACTCTTTACAGAATTCTTCTTAAATATGTTATCTGAGAGGCATTACCACCATTTCTGATAGGTCCAGCCTTAATCAGCAGCACGTCCATTTTGGAGCCAGCTGCCATTGGCCCCACTGGACGTTGGGGAAACTTCTGGCAGCTTCTCACAAAAGCCACCCCTGTAGCCCCCTACTAGCAAAGTTTGGCCATGCAAACCCAATACAGCATCTAATAAAAAATTGCAATCACATAGGCATGTCCAAGATAAAGTGGCATGAAGTACCAATACCTTGGGATACAGTTCACAACTTAAGTCTGTAGAAACACTCCTGCCAGTATCAGAGAGATTTTGATCAGCAGCAGTTTCTTGATTCAGTTTGCCCAGATGCATAACTATACATTGGGTAAAATTCTGTGGATTACAAACAATTGCACTTTTGTTCCAGCCCTGCACAAACTCACAGGCAGTTTTGGAACATGTTGTTTCCTATGTACAGACTCTCAGGGACTTCTGGAACATGCTGTTTCCTATAGCATGAGGATCTGATTATATAATGCTTTGGGTTATGATGAATTTGCATGTTATTTTGCAAGCACAGTTGAGCTTGTTCTGAACTGACAGAAAGCCATGTGATCCAGCTCCAACACTGGGATAGTGAGTCCTGCTGACAGTCAAAATGATGTAGCCCAGGTTCATCCACTTCAAAGCCGTGTTCACTGTGGCTGCATCTCCACTAGAGCATTGCCAGGGCAAGCCCAGAGCAGAGCAGAGGATGTGTACCCAGCTGCTCTGCAAGACCAGTAGCACAGCAGTGCACAGTAGCACAGTTTTGGACCATGACAGTTCATCTCCCAGACAGTTGCCTTGCATGATCCAAAGGTAAGCCTGGGCCAGGAGCCATTCTTTGGAAGCAGCTTCAGTGCATCATCCTTCTTCTTTGGTGTAAGATGTTCTGTATGAGGGAACACAAGACTCAAAGACCGGACTGAAGGCCAAAGGGTGATCCCTGATGGAGATGAATACAACTGGGATCTGTTGAGAAGGAAGCTGCGTGCACATCTCCAAAGTGCTGGGTCACCATGTTGGAATGCCTCAGGCTGTCCCAGAGGTGAGCACACCTGATTCAGGTAGCTCAGCTCTCCAAGGAAATGTGGAGTGCTTTTTTCAAATAACTACCTGGGTTATATGGGATTATGTGCTGTGTCGATGTGATGTCCCTGGCTGGCATGTAGCTTGGATGCATTGAGCTGCTACCACATAGGATGCCCTTGATCCTGAGATAGGTCTTAGAAACCACAGGAGTTGAAACCTGAATGAGCTAAATAGTTCTATTTTCATCCATGAAATTCAAGCAGAAACTTTTCTTCAGGCTTGGTTGCACAAAACAGACCACATCTCCAGAAGCCACACACTGTAGCGACGTGCTTCCAGCAGCATTTAAACCCCATTTTGTGTTCATCATTGTGGAATTAGTCGATTAATCATTTAAGATTCCTGGTATTATATTAATTTATTAGTTTACGTTAGAAGAACAGCAACATTAAACCTAGGAAAATGCTGAGCCCCTTGAGAGACTGACTCATGAGGTATTTTAGCTTCTATTGTCATGAAAAGATCTATTATACAATATTAATCAATCCTCAGTTGACCTCTTAGACTTGAAGTCTTCCTCAGGGTAGGAACTTTACATACCAAGTTACCTTTCTCTTTACATGTATGAAAAACATCTCTTTGTGCAGTAGCCAAATAGAAATGGCTATTTTAGTACTATTTTATTTATTTCTGAACAAGCCTAGCTCTACAGCATCAAAATATTCTTAATCACATATATCATGTTTTTCTCTGAACATCCTTTGTCAGATTACATGACTTATTACTTCTAAACCAAAGCTATTCCAGAGTAAAATAGGAATTGAAATTTGTACAAAGGTACAGTTCATAGAATCATAGAATGGCTTGGGTTGGAAGACACCTTAAAGATCAAACAGTTCCAGCTTCCCTGCTGTGGGCAGGGACACCTTCCACTAGACCAGGTTGCTTCAAGCCCCATCCAGCCTGAGCTTGGACACTTCCAGGGATAGGGCATCCAAAATTGCCAATAAATAGTTTTATGATAAAATTTTATGATAAAGGGCAGTTTCTCTTGCTCCCTTTGCAAGAGCAGTATGAGATTGTAAGAAATTAATCTAATTTGCTAAGTTTTGATTATTCTTGATGTCAAGGACATGGATGATCAACTTTATGGTAAAAAGGCTATTTTTAGCCTGTTTGCTCCTCAGTTTCCCCCCTTGGCAAAATGAAATCTTTGGAAGATTCTGCACATCTCAAGAATTCACTTTTGCAAAGTTAAATTGCCTAACAACTGTAAAATGTGCTGAGATGCTGCTGCAGAAGATGCCATGCCAAGGACACTGCAAAGTGGTATTACAACTGTGAGGAAGATGAATGGGACCAGAAGAGTTTGGGTGACAGGTTATCTGCAAACAGAATGTGAGACAGAAGGACATCTTCAGGGAGTAATTGAATTCTCTCTCTGGAAATTTTTATCCGCTGGGGATGTCAGCTGAATGCTTGTTCCACCCAACAACTTGAGTTGTTCAACTTGAAGGTCTGTATGATAATTTTTAAAACCTTTTTCACGTCATTATTTCAGATAGAGATAGGATCTCATTAATGCTGTAGCAGGATGGGAATGAGCAGTTGGAATATGCCAGTGTAGGGCAATTCTGCCATTTTTGTGGCAAGCATAATACTG